CAGTAACATGTGAGGAGAGGATAATAATTTCCCCACTTTAATTAATTCTTTTTTAAAATTATTTTTTAATAATATGGTATAAAAAGTAAATGATCATAAAATTGAGTATCAATCAAATATCATGATGTTTTTCTGAAAGTATGATAACCTCATATAAAAAAATAAAATAAATAGCAAAGTTCAATTCTCCATAAACTTAATATGAAAATTAAAAAAAATGAAAAGGCAAAAGAAAAAAAAAAGAAAATAACATTTTATTGTTCCAATGTAACATGTGAGGAGATGATAATAATTTTCCCTCCTCAATAAATGTTTTTTAAATTATTTTTTTATTTAACAATATGTTAGATCATTTTTTATTTAGTAATATAGTAGAAAAAATAAATGATCATAAAATTAAACATTAATTACATATCAGTATGTTTTTCTAGAACTATAATAACCCCGTATAAAAAAATAAAATAAATAGCAAATTTCAATTCTTAATAAACTCAATATAACAAAAAAAATATAAAAAAAAGAAAAGTAAAAGAAAAAAGAAAAAAAAAACATGTTAATGCTTTAATGAATAGTAATATGTGAGAAGGGGAATAATAATTTCCCCTTCTCAATTAATTTTTTTTTTTATTTAATAATATATTAAATTATTTTTTATTTAATGATCAGATAGCAAAAAGTAAATAATAATAAATCTTAACACAACTAAATACCCAAATATTTTAAAAAAAAATTATAATAATTCTATATAAAAATATAGTAATATTCAATTCTTAATAAATTTAATGTAAAATAATTATAAAAAAAAAACATATTACTCTAATGAATAGTAACATGCGAGCAGGGAAACAATAATTTCCTCTCATCAATTAATTTTTTTTTTTTTAACCATTAAGCTAATGACATGCCTCCATTAGCAAACACCCTGTGGAGGTCAAACCGAATGATTTTACCTTTTTCCTCTTTAGAACTTGAAATTTCATTGTATTGGCTGTGTCCATTAATGATTAGGCCGTCCCTTCCGCAATGCTCATGCTTAATTTTTGGTACGGAAATACAGACCCCATTAAGGCTGTATTTTTAAAAGGTGTTTTTCATTTTTTTTATTTTTTAATAATTTTAAATCGTTTTAATGGTCAGTCATCAAAAATAAATTTTAAAAAATAAAATAAAAAATACTTTAAAAAATAAACTCTATCTTACATATAAAAAACCTCTTAATCAAATATCCCTATTATATATGCTTTATTTACGAAACAAATTTCATATTATTTCCGTACAAATCTGAAGTACTGATTTATAAATGATAAGCATGAATCCTTTAAATTTTAAAGGATAGGCTTCCGAAAAAGGTAATTGCCAAATATAAGAATTTGAATAGATATTCATTTAGATCCTATATTTTTAGCAAATTAATTAGCTAGCCCTTCTTATTTAAGTATTTCACTATTGCATTTCAATTATTATTGTTTTAATTTCTCTTAAATAACTTATTTCTTTCAGTATATGTTTGTTAACAGCATGGTGAGCTGCAACCAATTTAATTATTATTTCTTCAAAATACCCTTTAATTTGACTATATATATTAACTGAAAGAGAAGAAGCCTGGAGCTAGTTTGATCATTTCCTAAAAAACTAATTAAAAGAGCTTTAAAGGATGTATCTGGTATAAGAAATCGAGTGAAGTCTGAGATTAGAGGACCTAAGTTATCCATCACTGAAAATATAGGGACTAAATTTAAATGTATAGGAATTTGGCTATTTAAGTATTTGGTGCTGTGCCTCTGACAGTTACATGCATCTCTCTCACTTCTTCTCTCCTTCACTCCCACTAATTAGCCCCTCTCTCAAGTGCCGCCACCATTCACTCCTTGACTTTAGTCCTTCCCTCGTAATAGAATTTCCTGCTAATTTCTTGATTTTCCTACCTAATTAACTTGCCTACAAGTTATATATATCTTCTTGCTAGTAATTCCTCGAGTTAGTCAGTCTCCTTGCATTTTTGTGCCTATTGATCCTCTTCGTTCTTTAGTACCGGGAAGTTTTAAGTAGCTAGCTAGCTAGCACGGTGGCCATGGTGATGATGGGACTAAGGAGGCTGGTGATGATCTTGAATTCCAAGATAAGGTTCTTGAAGATGAAGAAGGGTTATGATAAGATTGAGAAGAGTGAGAGCATGAGAGTTGAGGTGAGAAGCAGGAAGGCCAGGAAGCTCATTGAGGAGACATTAAAAATTGCTGATTCGCCAAACACCAAGACTTATGCTTTTTGATGATCACTACTGTTCTTGAGTTTCTCTTCTCATGTGTTGAATTGCTACAATGTGTGTGTGTGTGTGTCATGGTTTTGTTTCTTAATTGTTAATTAAGCATGTTTTTATTGAAAATATTTAATTAGTTGTCACATAATTACCTCCTTTTGTCCTCTTTATTTCCATGGCTAAGCTGCTAGGTCATGGATACAATACCATAACTCCATTCCCTTGATCTTCCTAATGTCAAGCATGCTTGCGATTTACATCATTTTTTACCTTATCAAATAATGAAGTTATGGCTTAATCAATTAAAACTTTTGATAATGATTGTGGTGTTACTTTTTCCTATCAACTTTGAAGTTGAATTTACTAGTAACAGTACATCAAGATGTACATTCGCATTGTTATTAAACTCAATATAGAAATTAACTTACAAAATTAAGTTATGAATGGAGTTAGTTAACCTAAATTAATATAAAAATTTTAAAAAAATATATAGTAACATTATTTTAAAAACAATATTAATTTTTAAAAAATAATCACTAATTTTAATCCAATTAAGAATCAATCTAGATTTATAAAACACAACTCACGTCAAGTCTTGGATTGACGGCTAGGACATCCCAGGTTTTATATATTTCTACATATATAAATATATTGATCTATTAATGATTTATTATCTCAAGAGTTCACGGAGTTATGCAACCAGCAGGGAAGAAATTATCAAGAACATATGGTGCGGATTCCTCCTGAACATGGCTACTTAAAAAGAGATTGATTCTTTTTTCTTGGATTCCTCCTTGGACTTGAATCACTGTCCAGTGGCAATTAAGTGATCAAAGGGTGGGTGATCTGTGTTGAATTGCATATCACATAGTCTAAACATTTAAACACTAGTTTTCTTTCATTTTGGAGTAATTTCTTTGCCTAAATTTTGCTTTGAAATAACAGATTATTATATGGGGCACAAAGTAAAAAGCCATCGAAGTAAGAATATGCTTCTAATACTTGCTCGTCCGAAGCAAAAGTATCCTCTCAAAGGGTAACATAATCCTCAAGTAAAGTGTTCCATAATCCTCGAGATGTAACAAGAAAGATTTTCAATCATGATTTTTAAAGTGGAACACAATGATGAATTTCATTAACATAATGATTCGTGTGTGTTTTTTAAAGCTTTTTTAATGGTGTTTTTCCTAATATTTAGCATCGCTCATCCTTAAATTAGCAATGCGCACAATAAAAAACAATTATCTACTTCTCCACAGAGCTATTAAAGATACATATACATGAGAAGTTATATCTCACCACTTTACTTGAGGTTATAGCCCTAAAGTGATTGATTAAAAATATGCTAGCCCTGACAAAGTAAACCTAATTATGATCAATTTCAGTCCTGGTTATTGAACCTGGCGTGTTCTACTGGGTCAAGGGCTTGGCCGAGGTTAAATTTCTCAATAAATATAGGAGTTAAATTATTAAAAAAACTGTTTGATTTTTTAAAGAAAAAAATTCAAAACCATATTATGTTAACATTTAAAAATAAAAATTTATTTAACCTAATTAACTTGTGACTTTGTTGAGTTTAATAACCATCATTTCAATTCACAAATAACAACTTAAATTACCCTTACATCTGTCATCTCAATGATATAAATAGTAAAATAATTTTAATCAATGATATAAATTCCCAAATCCCCTAGTGGAACTTTTGTTTTATTGCAGGAATATTAAAGCAAACTACATGTAAAAAGGATTAAAAAAATTACCATCTAACTTGAAACTCCAGCTGATATTTAAAAGTTAAAAATAAAAATAAAATACCGGTTACATAATTTTAAAGTTATGGAAGTCATGCTAGCATACCACCAAGTTAGGAAAAAGATCTAAGCCAGATGTCGTGCAAACACGCAGGAAAAAATTGATGGACAACTGGCAAGTATTGGATGCATTATAACTTGTATCTTAGGTGATTTGGTAAAACAAAATTATTAAATTGATCCTATGACTAAGAGCCCAGTTTTACTTCTAATATTTTGAATATTGACTTAAATCCAGTTAATCTAACCAAACCTAGGTATGATCTAACAAAGTTAACTTCAAAAGATTAAAAACAAAAAAACAAAAACAAAAACAAAAACAAAGGTATTTTGTAGAACATAATAGACTTAATCTCTTTTCAAGTAGTGAGTCAAGCCCTAAGCAAGTCTAATCTCAAGCATTTTCCAACAACCAAGCCTAACAACATTCAAACGAGACAAAACATGGAAAGTTGGTGATGGTGTGGAACTTGTTCGGACATTATAATCAAGAATTGGAGGCGGATGCATCATGCATTTAAGGATCACATTATTGAAAATTTATCTTCAAAAGTCATTCATTTTCATGATCCTCTAAATTTAGAAAGAAAAGAATGTCCACATTAAATGGTTTATGGGACTGCAAAAGGGTTTGGGAAACAAATTAGGAGTTTTAACAAAACTCTAATGGTTCTGCTTATTTGGTCTCTCTTGACACGGTGGTTAGAATATTCTTCATGTGTTATATAATTAGACAAAGTGAACAAGAACAAAATTACATTTGTCACATTGTTATGAGCAAGAAAAGTGTGTGATGTTGCAAATTCGACAGATATATTATGCGATGAAGCATGAGGTGATGAATTGTATTTTACTATTTTATTCAATTTTGTTGAGACACAAATACTCTCTTTTTTTCTTGGCGAATTATATGTACTTGAGAGATGGGGAGATTGACTTAAGGTGTACTCAGTTTTGAGTGATGAAACTAACCTTACAAAAAAGCATGAGATTGTCACTATGCCTCAGTAAATGTATTTGGAAATAAGTGAATTGAACATGCACTTCACCATGTTTCCTTCATAGTTAGTTTCTATGTGTGTATACAAGTCTATATTATGTTTCAGAAACTAGGCATGGAACAAGAAAATATAATATTACCTTGTAATTCCATTATCCCGCCTATCCATCCAGTGCAAGGTTGTCAGAACCAGGGATATACTTGCCTTTCAAATGCTTCCATTGTATACAATAAGAGAGGTGAAGGTGAAGGTGAAGATTTCTGCAATGACTAATTAGTTTGGACAGGATAGGGTTTCCCATGAACATGATCTGTCAGAATAATCCCACTCGAAGAGTATCGCCACAGAGAAGAGGCAATAATTCATCTTGATGTCACTCCCTTGCTTCGAGATCCAGAACTGAGGTTTTGGCTGGGAACCAAAATCATCGTTGGACCATCCAGGAAGGTAACATGACATTAGTTACAGAGAAGGAAACATTTTTGTGGCACGATGATGAATGGTAACGACATACCAGACCCTGAGGTTGTCAATTACATGTCAAGAAGTGGTATTAGTATAGACGTGCCCTCCAATAAGGTTCTGGTGAGTGTAAACACAATGCAGAAGAGAAGCATATTAACGGTTGTGATGATAAAGCATTTGAAGATCCTTGCAGTGAGTGCATATCCATGGTGACAAAGGAGGGTCCAGGCAGTAGGAATGGATACATCGAGTCTCGCACAGATGACATCTAATGAGTAAATCCTCAGGTTCCCGGCTACGGCATTCACAACACACTGGTCCAAATGAGGGCTGTTCAAAAATTAAAAACTAACAATTGAGAATCATATCCAAAGAATCCTGATTGTATAAGAACGAAAATGAATACCTACAAAATCTTCAGAAGAATAAGAAGTTCAAGACAGATACTTCTACAATAGAACCCTGTTCATGCAAAACACTAACAATTGTCGGCTAAACTTTTAATGGTTCTACACAACTAAACTTCGAAAAGTTTTTCTTTCACTTCCAGTATAGATATTGTAAAGAAAAATTCAACAAATAGAGATTCTTAAATGCAGAGCCTTGGTGACGGTTTCAATCAGAGTACACATAGAACTATATACAAGTCTATCATTTTCTCATGTACAAGATATGATAATTCAAATTCAGTATGATAAAAAAGAGCTGATGTGACAATTATCAAAAACTTGGCGTATAATAGAATAATAGGCATTCATAGATTCCATGTATTTTTAATCTCCATTTCACTTGACGATGAATTATCAAATCTTATACACTTACAATTCATAAGAGTTTAAATTTGTGAAAATCATCAGGCTCTGAAGGCAAAATCATTTTATCTATCGCAAAGCTAAAGTTTCTATATGATTATCATGGAAAACATTCGACATGATTAAGCATCTACACTCATGAACCCAAGGAAATGAAATGAGAATTCCGCGTTTTAATTTTTTGTAGCTTAGATGATTTATCTAGGCTTAACCCCCATTCGGCAATATGGAGTAAGAGGGTTTAGGAATCTGACACAGCCTGGCTGTATTTTAGTCCAGTAAACGTGGAATTACTACGCTAAAATGCAAGAAATTTGTGATAGTATTAACAACGGCAACTGATTGGAGTAGTGGGACATGTATGCCATCATGACCAAGGACAACAGCATGGTAATTATCCTGATTAAGAATTTGACTAATAAGCTGAACGTAAAACATACAAACACTTACCACGGAACCAAATTTATTTTGTTCTTGAAGCATACCAAAGAAAACATCTACTGTTGATGAGGCATGCGGTATAGTTTGAGAATAAATTTTTTGATCAGAGGTGGCTGCATCCTCCACCTTTGTTATGATTGAAAAACCAGCCTTGCACAGAGGACAGGTTGAAATTCTTCTCCTGGAAGCCTAAATGAAACATCACCATCAGCAGCAGAAGTAAAATTTTCAACCATAATCCTCCGAAGGGTAAAGAGAAACACATAAAGGCAGAGAAATGGAAAAGTTATCAATTGGCACCTGAATTCTAACAATCCAAAAGATCTCACTGCAAAGAACAAGTAAACCCAAAGATGCTTGAGACAGTTAATAAATATAATTCATTATCCTTTTCATTTCAGGGGAAAATTATTAATTTGGGCAACTTATACTTTCAGATGACAAAGGCATCCCTTCAAAAGCAACAAGCAAGAAGAATGTGTGAAAATTGGATTTGGCAAGAAAATTGATAAAGTACAAACTACAAACATGACAGGATAGCAAAGTGTTTGGTCCATTATAAGTGTCGCAAATCACAACTCAATGAATCAAATGTTTTTATACGACATTTAAACAAGTTTATTAGTGAAAACAGAACGTAGTAATTAGACAGGAAGAAAATGCATACCATGTGGTTAGCCCATTCTTGAATGCATGAATAACAAAATCGATGACCACATGGCAACACACCTCTGGTTGAACTAAATTCTGTCCAACATATAACACATGATAACTCTGCTGGAACAGGTAATCTGGCTACAGATTCAAACTGATCTATATCTTTAACCTTTGCATTTAAATTCTCAGCAGCAGAGCCAGAGCTATCTGCTATTTCTGATGCAGTCAGTGCACCCTCAGGACATGAATTTGAATACTCAGAAACAGGTAAGTGATTCCAATGTGTTCCCTCTTCAATGTCATCCAAAGACTCAACTGCTGAACCCCTATTATTAGTCACAGCAATATCAGATGTTACTTCAGCTTCAAATATATCAAGTTTCCTTTTGCAACCTGTACGTTTAGCTGTTGATTTACTGTTATTGTTCGTATAAAGTCTAACTGGATGCCACTCTTGGTCAGAATCAGAAAGCACAGTTTCCAAATTGTCTCTGGCAACATTTTTCTTCATAAGCCTTCGACCTTTACGAGAAGGCTCAGCCAAAGCGCTTCCAGTATTGCTAAAAGTATGCCTCCTTCCTCTCACGAAATGCATATTAAGCACAATATCTGACTCTTCATGTCTTGAAGAATTATAACTTGAACCTCCATGCTATTAAAACGAAAAACAAGAGAAATTTTTGTTCAGTAAATCAAATGTTTCCTTGTGATAAAGGAACAATCAAACAAAAAGTCTAACAGAAAAAAGCTCATAAAAACATATAAATTGCTTTCGATACAATAAAATCATTCAAAAAAAAAAAACAACAATGATCCTTCGCAGACTAAAAGAGAACGTGACTGTGGACTTCATGCAGAAACAGGAAATAACAGGCCTGTGCTTACAGAAGACAAGGTGGGTAGGCAATGAAGAAAGCTACATTGTCCCACATAAAACCAACAAGACTGTCCATGCCGCGTGTAGTCCGGACCATAAACAGGATTTTAAAGTTTTTCTAGTTAGACTTCTAATCTTGCAGAATTTGATTATGCCCTGAATGACACCCTACTCTAAAAGCAGTTGGCTTCAGATCAACAAGATTACTTTAGTTTCTGGCTACCTCATTTTTCAGTTGATTTATTTAAGCTTATAATGTTCTACTTGATCCCTATATGGATCATTTTTTCATTCCTCTTTATCACTTAAATAATGTACAATTTGTTTTGGGGAAAAAAGAGATAGTAATGCCCTAGGGCATAGAGTTTAGAAGTTTCCAAGGCTAGAATTTCATATTCAGCTCAATTACACAAAGTTGTCAAGACATTAACGGAAAAGAGAGCCAAGCACATCAAGAAAACTACAGCAATAGGAACAAGTTCAACGGATGGATCTGGATGAGTACATGAAGCAGGGAGAATTTTGATTGAATTCATTACCTCCAATCCAACTAGCCCAGAAAAAGTAGGGTCCTGATAAAAGCATCTGCTACTTGAACAGTTTTCCTGCTTCGAAGGTTTTTTTGCCTTTTTGAGCTTTGATTTATATAAATTACTGTTGTTTTTCCCAACATCAGGAACCAAACTCTGCAGTTAAATTCCATGTAACAAATCAGTGCTGATTGTTTGACTCTCAAATCACTAAATAGACCTACCCAAATCATTCACTGAAATATAAAGGCTTGTATTAATGTACTGGAAGTTAGAAGAATGGATAATATTCTCAAGTGTGTGTTATCTATAAATAACATGCTGACACAAAAAGGATAGCAGAAACTCTTCTTTGGAAAGTCAAACCATAAAGGACAAAGAAAGCTAGCATTTCAGTTATGCTATGTTCAATCTTGAATAATAGCCAAAGTATAGATAAGACAAAATGAAATTGAAGGGCCAAAATTATAGGAGACTCTACTTCTGAACACGAAATGAGGACCATAAACATAAGCCTAATGCTAGGATTTCAATCTGGGTGGTCCTTCTGCAAACAAACTGTTGCTACCACACTCAAAATGCTAAAAAAAAATAAATAGAAATAGAAAGTATGAGACACACTGCTAGCGCGCCTTCTTGAAAGGTCAGGGTTCGAGGAGCTTTCTGTTGAGCTTTTACTGAAACATAAACTTTCTAATTTAATACAAAAAGAATCACTCCTTTTCATGTCATGGTTTTCCTTTTCAACTGATTCGATTTCTCTATTAATTTAACTTGCTTAACTTGTCTTTATTTATGTTTCTCATGAACAGCTTGTTATGCACATCTGTGATGCATATGCTTAGATGCATAAACTGAAATAGTAAGTATAATGGCAAATCAATTGATTACTTAACATGCATCGTTGATCATAACAATATGCAATTAGCTCCACAATTTATGTGTCTGTGTGTGCACGTGCATGCCAGAGAGAAAGAGAAAGGTTTACCTTTACATCATTCAACAAAAAGGAATTACTCCATGCTGCAAGGCCAGAATCTTCACAATCCACATCAACTATTCGTCTTTCAGAGTCCTCACAATTGTTGGATTTGTCGGACAACGGTTTTCTCTTCTTATTCAAGGACCCAAGTTTATCAACGTTTGGGACGTCCAAGACTAAAGGCCCCACTTCTTGTCCACTGCAAAGAACAAAAAACTGCAAGCATAAGGTCAAAGTATTTTACAAACGCTAATTGAACATGCAGGAATCCATGATTACTAAAAAGAATTAAAAAAAATCTCAGTAAGAACAAGAACGTGTTGTGCATTAAAATAGGGATGCATAGCCATAGCCATACCTTTCCAACATGTAAGGATACTCCGGAACACGTTTTCCTTGCTTAACACATTCTTCGACCCATCGATGATTGACAACAAGAGTATCAAACTTGCTGGCTAGCTCATATTTCCTCCCTTCAAATTTCCAACATACCTAATAATATCATCCAAATAATTAAAATTAAATAAATCACCAAACTATTAGGTTAAACCTAATTCATGATCACTAGATTTTACCAAATGTGTAGTGGAATTTGACATTGCACCAACATAACTCGCACCAGATTGAGAGATGAGCTTAATTAGGTTAAACCTCTCGGAGCCATGGTAACCGCTAACAGTTGCCACCACAGATTCCATACCTTCTTCAATACTCCTATCATCGATCAAAAATCACAAAAAACATGACATTGAAACACTAATACTAATACTAATACTAATAGCGATCTAGTGAAAACCTAAAAAAGAAAGTATACAGATTTCAATTAGAAACTAAACAATGATCAAGCTCTTAATTGCACGTTATAGCTTTTTTAGCTCCAAATTGAAAGGATAAAGCAAGTAAAAATCGAAAGAGAGATTTCACCGTTTCGGTTAGAGAGGAGACAGCGTTGAGACTAATCGTTTATGTCTTCTGTTTCATTTGCAGGGAGACACAGCGAGAGGGCGAGAGAGGAGTGGTTTTGCTTGCCGGGAAATGAAAATTTTGAATTCTTAGGACCTGCGCCTTTGATGGGCCGAGTCTGATTGGGCCTTATAAATGTTCGATTCCTTTTTACATTTTTTTTTTTAACCGATTTAGGGTCAGAGTTCATGAATCCTTTTCAAATATAAAAATTAAATTTATTTTTTCACAGCATGTTGAAACGTGATTGTATCTATATTTTTTTAAATTTTAAAAAATAAAATTTTATTAAAATTTTTTATATTCTTAGATTTTTTAATTTCAAAATAATTTTAAAAAATAAATAAATATTATTTTAAAATATTTCTAAACTTAATTAAATTTTTAATTGGACTCATGATTAAATCAAATTAACCCATTAAAAATTTTTATGTAATTTTGTTTAATATCCACTTAATTTAATATTAAAATTATATTGTCTTATTTAAATCTTTTTAATAGTGCCATTGAGTATTCAAAATTGTCAAAAATTCATTTTGGTCTTTTCATCTTACATTTATGAATCTAGATCCTTATTCAGAATGTTTATGTCAAAACAAATAGTTTGCATTTTTATATTTTATTATTATTATTATTTATAAACAAAAAATAATAATTTTAAAAACCCAAAATTGTGTTATTACATGGTATTTTTGGATAAAAATAAATTAAAAATTCCTCAAAAAACCATACTTTATAATTTTTCAACTATTATAGTGTTAGCTAGATTATGAGTTGGGCATAATGCAATGCATCGTCTAGCCTAGTAGATGATAGGTTTCCTATTTCTTTCTTTCTTACTTTTTAAATAAGAATATATTGTTTGCCTCTTATAAAAGAAAAAACAAAACATATGGCTATGGAATGCAGGCTTCATCCAGGCCACATATCTAGGCTTTATTAATAGCTTGACATGATGGGTCATTCAAGCCCGTGCACTTGGCTTATATTTTTAAATAAAAACCTTTTAATATTAAGTTTTATTTTTTAATAATTAATTAATTAATTTTAAATATTACAATAATAATAACTTAACTTATAGGTTTAGTAATTTAATTAAAATTTACTGTAATTGATCTAATACATTTATATCTTAATTTTTTTAACAAAAATAAAAGATATCAACTTTATTTTTTTTTTAAAAGCTATATTTTTTGTAGTCAATATTAATTTTTTTTCCATCATATAGTTACAATAAAAAATGATATTGAGTTTATTAAAATCCACAACTCAAATCATAAATTTGATAATTTAACTCAACTTAATTATAATTAATCTAATATATCTATGCCTCAATTTTTTTTAAATGTCAACTTCAATATTTTCTTAAAAGTTAAATTTTTTATTTTATTAGTCAATCCGGTTGCTTAATCTAAGCCCACAAATATATACTTTTTTTAAGGTCGTAATAAGTTGGGGCAATTAAGCTGGCGAGCTTGGATTAACTTTCTTTTTTTAAAAAAAAAATCCTTAAACAATGGGTTTTTTATGAATTTTTTTTAATTTTATTATTACATAATGAGTTGATTTTAAATCGAGTTTTAGTTTTTATCATATAATTAAAATAAAAAATATTATTAAACTCATTGGAATCCAAATCACAAGTTAAACTAGTTAACATCAGTTGATTGGAATCAATTCAACACATCATTGCCTCAACATTAAAAATAAATAAAATGTTAGCTTTAAATTTTATTTTTTAAATTAAATTATTTTTTATCAAACATTTATGTTGTTTTTAAACTAGAATATTTGTTTTTTTTATTTTTTATGTTATTTTTATTGTTTGATTTTTTATTTTATTTTTAAACTCGTAAAATAAAGTGGATCATAATAAATAACTCCTAAATAATTTAATTTGAAATATGTACTTTGAGAAGGACTTCAACTCAGAGTTATCAAGTTTGATTCGCTGGAACTTCAATAACAATTCCACAAAATGTTTTTAGTTAAACCTCATGAAAAGTAAAGTATAACTAATAATTCTCACAAGCCATCCTATGAAGTAGCAAAAAGCCTTCTGCCTTATCCTCCTTCGAAGAACAAAACCTTTCCCTGTAGAATAAGGGAAAGAGCACTGAACACCTCTACACTGGCAATATCTACTGTTTATTACCGCAATCAACAACATTTTTACCGATAAGTGAGCTAGAAGCATCACTCAACAGAGAACAAAAATCAGATCAAGATCAAGGATCGATACTATTTAGGAGTAGGTTTTCTGGATGGGATAAATTGCATCATTTCTAAAAACCCAACTGGGGTGAAGGCTTCATTTTGATTCAGTTTGCTACCTTTGATGCTACTAGCTGGCTAGCTCTGTGTCACACACCGGCCTACACACCTGGCCAATTCAAAATAGGCATTGTTTGCGTGTTAAAATGTGTCTGGTATTATAGTTATTATTATATTTATAATTTGAAAAAAATATTTTATAAAAATTATTTTAATTTAAAGTTAATTTGAAAAAATATATATTTGGTTAAAATTATAATTAAAACTGAGATTAAGTAAAAAATAGTTTAATGTGCTTGGTTTAAAAAATATTTTTCAAATTTAGATTATAAAATAATATATATATATATATATATATATTGATTGTTTTTAATTTAAATATTGTAGATTTAACTATTGTTATTATATCATGAAATAAATAATACTTTATAAAAAATATTTTATATTGTTCCATTAAATTATCAACAATTCCATCACATATGAAATACATCCGACAAGGATTATAGTTTCATTGGTTTCGTAAGCACGCAACAATATCAGGTAAAATATTATTAGAAACAAAATTGGAATTGTGATCAAATTCTACAAATATTACGTCATCAAGAGACCTCCTTCTAATTTATATAGTGTTTTTGAATAATGTGAAAAACTAGTTTTTCGAATAAAACATAATTAAAAAAAAAATTACTGTGACAGACCCGATTCAATACATTTTTATAGCTTTGGATCGAGACCAATCTCCACTGTTCAAGCAAATAAAACTTACTTCTCATAAGTTGAGGTTCAACCTCAGTTATTAGGTGGGATCCATGTGAAAAAATATATAGTTTGGATTAACCAAACACTTTAATTCAGCTTTTGTTTTGTGTTGTTGTTGTTGTTGCAATGCCAAACAGGCACTTAGTAGAGTTTTAAAGTTGATCCGGTCCAAGGTCCAAGTTATAGATTTTGATCGGGTTATTGGATCATCCGAGTTAATTCTGATTTATTTTTTAAAATTAAAATGATATCGTTTTATTTAAAAAAACAAAAGTCAATAGGTTATAGTTAAGTTTTTGACCGGGTTTTACTAGGTCACCCTAAATTTTGACTTTCTTTGTTTTTTTGTTAAACCCGGCCCAATTCCACCCTAAAATTGGTTGGGTCTTAAGTCGACCAGTTGAACTGGCCCGATTTCAAAACTATGCATATTATGCTTATTTCTTTATATATTTATTTGTTGACCTGATTTCATGCGATCAAAGGATCACTAGAAAGTCAGGCCATATATTTTTTTTATTAAAAAACTTAATTTTTATTTATTGTTGTTTTACCTTGATACATGTTAAATCTACCAATAACCTTAAATAATTCAAAAATCAATTTGAAAAATCAAAATTAACTTAAAATATATTAAAAAAGCCTCTCAAGCTTAGATATGTACCATTTCAAGTGATAGGAAAAATAAAAAATACTTAGATAAAACTTTCATCATCAAATGAAATATATTGATATTAAAATCAATGTCAACAAAAATTCTCTTTATAATTCGATTGAAAAAAAAGAAAAAGTAAAGTTTTATTCTACAATTAAAATTTTGAAATATTAAGGGATAAAAAACTATCATTTAAGAAGTAAGAGAATTGAAGTGAACTTTTCATCCTATTTTTATAAATTGCCTTCCATTTTCTCTTGCCTTTTCATTTTAGTACTGTGTCTTTAAATCATGCATTTGCTCAACAAATCTGCTTAAACTAGCCATCAACTTGGCTTATAAAGGCATAATTAAAAAAGAAGTTGAGGGGATAAAAATACCCTGAACTCTATCCCAAATCCACTGTGCTCTATGTTTGGGCTAACCAATATTTTCATCGTCCTTTTTAGTGTTCGTTAATAATATGTGACACAATAGTGATTTTTAAGTTCTATAGAATGTTTATCAACCAGTTTTATAATTATTCATTGAATATGTCTAAATTCCTATAGTTACACCTATAAAATATTATTATTTATTATAATAATATTTTATATTTTTTAATTTAACCTTTTAATAACCTTTTTTTTATTTTTTTATTTTTAGGTTTATCCTTTAATATTTGGTTGTGTTTAAGAATTGTCCTTTATATTTTTGTTTCAATTTTTTTATATATTAGGTTATTTACTGATCTCATAAAATTAGTTTTTTGAAAAAACTTCAACAATATATATATTGGTAGTGAGATTTCATAATTTTTTATTTAATTTTTATGAATTTATCTCAATCTTATAATTCATATAACGAGTTTCACATGTTAGATCAGGTTAATTTAGGTTGCTTTTTGGGTTGCTTTTTCTAATTACTTTTTTTATTTTTTATTTTAATATTAGATTGGTTGGAAATTGGGTTTCATGATTTTTCTCAATTTGTTTTCTATAAAATTATTCTAATCTCATAACCCAAATCGTAGATTTGACATGTTAACTCTCTTAATTTTTATTTTATTTTTTAATTAGGTTTTGTAATTTTTTTAGTTGCTTTTCATGAGATTATCTCATTCTCAAAACCCAGGTCTTAGGTTTAGCGGATTAATCTAGGTCTATTTAATTTTTTTATCCTTTATTAATTGGATATATATATTCAATTTTACCCTCCAATAACTATATTTTCTTTTATATATATATATTAGTTTTATTTTTTAATAATAAATTATTTAAAAATTAAACTTTATAATTTATTTTCAATTTGTTTTGCCTTCATGTTATGACTTTTTTTAAAATTTTAATATTCAACAATATATGTTGAAAATGAAGCTTCATCATTATTTTTTTCATGTCTCCACTCCCCAATCGTCTTTTATT